GCTTCCGGGCAGCCGAGGTGCCCAAAGCGAGGGGCGCTCAGGGAGACCGGGGTGCCTTCAAGGGAGGAAACGACCGAAAAGGTCAGTCGAAGGACATCGAATGGGCATGTTGTGGAATATCTTATTGTTGTAACTTATAGTTTGTGTTCGAGTTCCTCTTTTTTTTGCACGGATCTGCACGCGCAGAAAAGAACATCGTATTTTTGGGGGTGGGTCTTGGTCGGATGAGTCTGGGTGAGTTGGTGTCTGGATGAGTCGCTCTCGGAACATGAAAGAACGACCCTGGCCACCAGATTTGAGGTGTTGGACAAACTGGACCCACGGATTCCAAAACAACTCGATTTGATGTCTATCCCGGCCTGAAGAGATTCCTGAGATTTGGTGTCTCATCAGAGTCTCATCACAGGTCATACCCACCATAACCCGCTGAAACACGAAAGGCAAGGGAATGGGTGGGCAGACCATCGCCCAACGACGGTCCGCAAGTTCGTGCATCCATGTCTGGGGGAGTTATTCATCAAGAGTCTCCAGTCATCCGTTCTTCCAGCTCCCAAAATCACTGGAATCGTCGGAATCGTAGCTGTGACCTGTGCTGAGAAAACCTGCCGACGCATCCACGGGACGGTCCAAGCCGTGAGGACACGGGTTGCACCCCCCTGCTGCTTGACGTTTGTAGATCTTTGAATGGGGTAGAAGCCCATGAGCATCCATGAGCCCAAATACAAGACAGGTATATGTTGCAGTCGTCTCTTCCACGGTACTGTACTTGAATAACAAAGACGATCTCCGGACAGGTTTTTTTTTTTTTCTATCTAAATTAACTATTAGTTTAAGTATTGTATTGTTACATATTCTGAGGTCACTAAAACAGTGACTTCAATTTGCGCTGGAAGTTGAGCAGGAAGATGTCAGTTGGGGAAACCGAAAGAGTACGTGAGTCGTTCCTACCCGAAGTCCCTGGACCCTCCGGCAGGGGTCAGACCCTCAAAAACCCAGCGGTCCAGACCCTCAAAAACCCTTCCATTGCTTCCGGATTCGGATTCGGATTCGGTGTATAGATTCCAGACATCTAAATGTGGTTGGTTTCCAACATGTCCAACCCACAGCACTCCCTCACGCATTTCCCACTTGTGTGGCATGCCGAGTCCAAGCCTCCAGATTTGCCTGACGGATGCTGAAAGGGCCCTGTGTGGCTGGGATGGGGCTCGGTCCCCTGCGTGGCGCTGCTGCATTGTTGCATTCGCTGCTACCTGCAACTTGGACAGCTCAGATTGAGCTGTTGGATGCTAGATTGAGTCTGGTTTTGGCTCAGAGACTGTGGATTGGAGAGTGCTACTTAGGATAGGAGTTGAATAGCTAGGAGAGTGACAGATTTGGGTCACCTTAGCCACTTGGCCAGTGCACACGGTGGTTGAGTTGGACTTGAAAATTGTAGATGCTAAATTGGATTTAAGTGATGCAACTGGTTCTTGCATTGTTCAAACTAGACATTGTTGTGACACTCACACCGAGACTTCTTACTGACTAACGACACTGATCCTTTGCAACTCAGCCACTTGTTGGTGCAGCCGCTAGTACAGTTGGCCGTCCCCCTTTTTGCAGTCCCTCTGTGTGAGGAGCGTTGTGTTTGCGACGGGCGTGCGACGCCCATAGATTTATCGGTGCCGGCAAGTAATCACCGTGGGTGATCCTTGGGTATTATCCCTCAGAATCGGAGGCGGCCAAAAAGGTTTCTCCTGATCCAGCCGTTCTGAGTTGAGAAGCACTGGCCTGTAGCTATAGCTTGCTAGCTTGCAGTATGACCTATCCTCAGTAGCTCTGAGCATGATTGCACCTGACGTTCCGCTAGCCACCTATACTTGTGCATATAGAACACACACACATGTTGCTCGAAATCGTACAAATATCATATGCCTTTCTCCCTTGGACTACCAGCACTTTCAAAGCAATACAGAGCAATACACAGAAGCCTGACGCATGAAAATGGGCACCTGGAAAATGTCCTATACTATTCCGAGACTGAGACTAGGAAAAGCTAGAGAAAGAAGGAGTTCCTAGCGCAATCAAGACAGAAGCAACTTCAGGTTGGCAACTGACTGCAATGCAAATCAATGTAAATGAAGGGCATCAAATGCAGGGTTTCAGTTATACCTGGCTTTGCTTAAGATCATTTGTTATTTTCCCTATGGTTAAATCCCCTAACCCGGGGAAGCTTAATTTTTTCCCGGCTTCCTGGACAGCAAATCCAAGAAATGAAAGGGGCATCACGTTTGTCTATGTGCGGGCAACCCGGTTGTGGACGGGGTAACCCGTTCTAGCACCAGACGCAGCAAGTGCTGCATGGGTGGGGGAGAGTCAGTTGAAGGCATCAAGCGCACGTTGTAGACCATGGAAGGGCAGATCCTTTATAAACATCGAATCATCAGAATCAAACGTGTGAAGAATCCCCAAGCTTCGTTTTCGCGCGCCTTTCAAGCATCTCGTCTGAAGAAGTCGCTGCCCCAAGTGATCCTCCTTTAGTATCCATCCAAAATGAATGTCCAGTCGTCCGTCGATTCGTTCTTGGCCTGTTGTGGGACACCAAACAACTGCCCCCCCCCGCTGGACCTGTCAGTTTCTGCTGTCCCAGACGTCTAGTCTCCCAGTTTTCTCAAGGCTTCAGTATCGCAGGTGTCGGCGATTAAACAATGCTAGGAAAAGGGTGGTAACGTTTTGGTGGAAAACAAATGCCCGCCCCTGCTACTGAAAACTGCACAAGGCTTGGTGATCATTGATCATACTCACAAGGTGTGACAGTGATCACTTCGAACTTGCACGAGGCTTTTCTGTTCCGAAGGCTTTTCTGTCTCCAGGGTTCCTGACAGAATTGCCTTCCGTTTCCTATGTCGCCCACGTGGCACCAGAGAGTTCCTTTCTTGCTCAAGAAGAGAATGCCGGCAGGAACATGTACACCCTGGAAGACTAACATGGAACCTGAAAACCCCTGGTTGGTAGAGGAAAATCGTTTTCCATGGGACCATTGTCACGATTGTCAGGGTCTATGTGAGTTTTCTGGAGTGTAGATTAGATTAGTGGGGGAGATTCCCGAGATCCCCTGGGGTTGTGGTCTATTCGTCCGAACCTACCAGGTCGGAACGGTCGCGGAACGGTCGGTCTCCCTACAGATGCCTTGGTAGCTGAGAAGGCGATTCTTGAATCGGTCAGACAGCATCCATCACGATTTGTTGCTACACAGATTGTGCACCTCTTTTTCATGTGACATGAAGTTGAAATGATCCTTCAGAACGCTATCTGCAGAGCTTCCCCGACGTACGATGAGGTACCTGCATGTTTCAGTCACCTTAACGTAAAACCTTTGCACCTCCCCCAGTTCTCGGCACCCTCCGCCGCAGTGAGAACGCTTCATCCGCGCCTCCCCGCCTCCCGAGACGTTGTCCGCGGGGGTCGTCGCGTCGCGTCATGGAGAGATGGAGGCTTCGCTTCCACCTGCCGGGAGGCCCAGCACCCCGTGGGCCGGCCCGGACATGCCAAAACTCCTGAGCACCCATGTTTTACTTGGAAAGGAACCACCCATTGTTCACTTCTAAACGAGCTCGTTCTGGTGTTGTTCCGGCGACCAGAGTGGGCGACGGCTCTGAGAAAGTGGGTAGGTTGTGTCTTGTTGGAGAACGGTACTGGAAGGGAGCAGTGTTGTTTTGTTTTAATTTGGTGACCGGGTCAGAGAGCCAGAGCCGCGTTTGGTTGGGGAATCCTTTGGCCATGAACATGAGCGTTGGAAAACTGACTGACTGGGAGATATTTGATCATTGGCGTCTCCATATGGGTGTGCGTTGAAACAGGTTAATATATGTTAATATAGGATACCTCCAGAAAGGCCCCAAGGAAAAAGGAATAGAACAAAAACATAAAATGACCATAGTGAGTTGAATATGTTTCCATTTGATTGAAGTACACACCCACATTTCCCTTGGAAGGGGGAATCTGCACAGTTCTTGGTCAAGCATCACAGCCAGGATAAAGCTTCAACACAAGGGACCAGCTCTGGTGATGTTTTTGTTCGAGGAACCTTGAACAGACAGGGTGCCTCATGATCCTCATCTACTCAGCTGGGCAGTATCTTCGCAGTGTGTCGGATGTCTCTTGAAGGTGTGTGCTGGGCCCCTTGGGGACCCTGGGCGTGCAACATGAAAACAAGAACATGTTTTGTTGGCTCATGTTCTATGAAACTCCATCCCCCCAAGAATAAAACTATCTATATTTGAAATGTGTCTGGATGTTCAACAACTTTCTTGGGCAGTCTTGATTTCATATATTATATAGTTTGGAGGAGTAAAGTCGATGAAGAACGAGCAGGGTAGGTGCCCTGGCTTTAGAGGAAACATACATCACGTTTATATGGAGAGAAATCATTCTGAACCTGAAATATTGATTCTATAAGGAAAGAAGATGAGATGTGCATTCTATAGAAACAATAACATTCTTTCCGATGACAAAAGACATGAAACAAACGTGAAATGGCTAGCGCGGCCGCCGCAGCATGACCCCAAGATGTGGTTCTTTCAGAATGAACAACTTAAACAAGAACTAACATAAAGGTGGAAAACCACCCCCTTGGTGTTCCAAGGGAAAGGTGGCTTCATGATCATGTGCAATTCAAAAAATTATTCTTCGCATGGAAAAGAGGTTGTGCTGCAATTTCTTCTGTGGAACCAACCCCATCGACAGCCGCCTGTCAAAGCCGGTCTGTGACATCAGGACTCACCTTCGCGTGTTACGAGGACTGCCAGTTTGAGCCAGATGCAGCGCGTGACCGCGACATTGGGTGCAATTGTAGGGTCGACTCTGTTTGTTCCGAATTGGCTGGGGGCCATGGGACCAGAGCTTGGCTGGTGTCGGTCAAATTCTACATGCTGGAGCGGGCTCCAGACTTTGGAACCATCCCCAAATGACCATAACCTGGTTTGCTTAAGGGAGTTTGTTATTTTTTCCCTATGGCAATGGCTGAATCCACTTCTGCGGGAATCTGTTTTCCGAGCTCCTTAAGCAAATCCAAGATCATATACCACAATCATATGTTTCCCAAAGTGACCGGTCTACCCAACTGCAAGTGATCCATTTGCCATGCAGTAAAAGACTCATGGATGTGCAGGATCAGGGCAGCATACTATACCTTTTCTTCGGAAAATATCTCATACTAGTACCTAAAGTCGGGTCCATGACCCTATAGTTAACATGTAAATGATAGCTTCAGAGGTACCAACAGGTCGTTTCCAGGTATATACGGTACGAGCTGCTGGAACCGGGTGCTGTGAGTTTGGACGGGAGGCATGGAGAAATCCATGGTTCACAATCCTGCAATATATTTTAAAACACACCGTTCTTTCCCTTTCCAGGCAGATGTTCAGCACAAATGATCGCAGTGTTCCATGTGTTTTGGATATCAAGCGGTGCTGACTGAGATAAAAGAGGATTGAAAGCGGTGCATGGTGATTTTCATGTGATGAGCCCAGACACTCCATGCGACCTGCCAGGTCCGAACGTGCAGCGCGTGGCGTCTTGCAGCAGGCTTGAACGTGGGGGAGGAAACGGGCGCTGGCCGGTGCGTGCTGAAACGGGGGGTGAAAGGATTGCTATGGTCTGGAAAAAGTGGATCATTTGCCACAGCCCATGCCACACCTGTTACGGAATTGGGGACACCCCGCGAGATCCAGGTGGAGAAGGTCCTGGATGTTCCGAAGATGCAGGGTCAGCTCGATATGGACTGGTGACTATGTGTGAATATGATGGTGTGTTCATAGTGGTGTGTTCGTGTGTTCATGAACCATTATATAACTTCATAATCTGCTTGTGACTATGTGTGTTCATAAGCAGAATATGGACATGGATGTTTCTGATGGACCTCGTTCTTGTGCTGTTCGTTCTTGTGGATGGACCTCGTTCTATCGGCAGGCAAGTCGATGTTCCGACCAAAACAGAACAACTGTTCGCCTCCCTAGACCTGAGCTCTCCCAGAACCCGGGGACTTGAATAGTTACCCCCATGTTTACCTCCTAACCCATGTTGAATGACCGGTCTGTCCGGTCTGTCCGTGGCGTGGTCCGTGGTCCGGAGGTGTGGGGTTCGACTTGTTGGTCGCCATCAACGGTGCTCAGATGAAGAACACATCTACCAGGGAAGGTGGGAAAAAAGGTTCTTGAGGTAGCAAGCATTGGTTTAAACACATCTGAGAACAAAGAAAAACGTCTTGCCAGAAACAAATATTGCATGGTGTCGGTGCGGGCAAAGACCATGAGCATAGATGAGATTACTGCTGATGTTTGCTCATTGTCTCTACCATTGGGGTTGCCAGCTTGGCGATGAGTATAAGTTGGCCTTCACTAACCATCATCATCCACTGTTACTGGTAATGCGATATACCCAAAGTATGTGTGTGTGAGTTCTTCCAGTGTTTCTTTGCTTGGCATTGGTTATGTATACCGGGACCCTCCAGTTCGTAGCTTAGAAAATTATACATGACCCAACCAAAAACATGTACTTGTACCAATTTTCTCCTGGTATATATGTTTTCCATCTCCGAGTTCTCTCCCACCGGCAGCTCTATCGCTTGCTCTCTAGCGCCCCTACTTCCAAGCCTCCCACCAAGGCCATCTTCACGCGGACGGTGCAAAACCGGTCCTTGTTACGTTCCGAGGAGCTCTCCTTGGCCGGGGCTCCTGACCGATCCGTCGACCGGGAAGGAAGGACCCTATCTAGGTATTACGGTATAACTATCCCAGACACTACGGACTGGTATTTATGCCGGTCTTTGGTCCCTCCACCAGCCCAATTTTATATATTCCCATGGAGTGTCGGGGATACATGGAGTCTTTGGGGTCGATGGTCTTAGCGGATATGGTTTCCAGAGGTTGGTGCGCGAGAGGTTGGAGCTCCGGTTCACACGCACGTTCACATCTTTGAACTGTTTCAGTTCGTGACGAAGCTTGCTTGAGTTTGGTTGAGCTCCAGTGTCTAGTGACTTGACCGAGTCATTGAACTGGCGATCATGCTGGTGCCGATTCCGTTCGACTGCTGAGTGCTGACACTGGGTCTCGGAATGGGACACCATCTTGTCCAAACATGTTAAATCCATTTATATCCCTTGTTAGAGGAACAGCGTCTTCAACACCTACTGAGCTACTGTGTGTCAATCTGACAATGGAACACTTGCTGGCACTGTAGTAAGTCCGAGGGTATGGTTTCTATGTGTTTCAATTGTCAATCGAATACCCGACAAAACAGAGACCAACGGCAACGTTTCACATTGTTTGTAGCCAAACCCAACCTGAAGTACCTCAAGTCAGGTCTACAGTCCTTGAACCATTTTGGGACTAATCCAATCCACTACCTTCCATGTTTAGTCCATGTTCGGTGAGACCCCCTGTGACCCATTTGGCGAGACCCCGCGGCCACCGCGCTCGAGGCATTCAAGCCGTGGCCGTTGGCGATGGCCACTGCCTCGAATCGATAGCGGCGATGGCCGTGCTGTTGTGTCATCCTGTGTCAGTCAGTTTTCTCGTTTTATATTTAGGCCGTAGCCCTGCCCTCCTTGATAAAACTCAATTGAAGTAGACGCCAGACGCCTACTCAAGGCGCCCAAGACTGCTAGTGGTTCCTAGATGTTTCGCGAAACTGAGCAAGTCTTTGTCAGTTGTGCTGGATTAGGATAGTGGCTGGTTGGTTGGTTGGTTGCTTGCTTGCTTGCTTGCTTGGTTGATGTTGGTTGACGTTGGTTGATGTTCGTTGATGTTGGTTGAGGTTCGTTGATGTTGGTTGAGGTTGGTTGAGGTTGGTTGAGGTTGGTTGATGTTGGTTGAGGTTGGTTGAGGTTGGTTGATGTTGGTTGATGTTGGTTGAGGTTGGTTGAGGCTGGTTGAGGTTGGTTGAGGTTGGTTGATGTTGGTTGATGTTGGTTGATGTTGGTTGGGGTTGGTTGGTGTTGGTTGATGTTGGTTGGTTTGTTGGTGTTGGTTGGTGTTGGTTGATGTTGGTTTGTGTTGGTTGATGTTGGTTGATGTTGGTTGATGTTGGTTGATGTTGGTTGATGTTGGTTGATGTTGGTTGGTTGGTTGGTTGGTTGGTTGGTTGGTTGGTTGGTTGGTT